GTGACCCAGCAGGTCGGTCTCAATACCGACTGCAGCTCGTGCGGGGATCCGTCAGAACCATCCACGGCGGGCACCTGAGGTGACAGCCTTCGGGCTCCGGCACTCTAGCTGTGTTGCTGTCAGCATTTTATTTTTAAGTTCATTTCTTCCAAGAATGAGAGACAGAGAACTCACACCACCCCCAGCAGTCTTAGCACCACAGCCTCCAGCCCCAGCCTCAGCAGCCCTGGATCATGGGCATACGTGTGCCGCGTACTCAGGGATCTGGACACGAACCTGGGACCTTCCCATATAGGATTGCCTTTCAATAGTGGTGTATTTTTCCACTGCCCCTCGTGTCAGCATTTAATTGTATCCCAAGCCTAAGTGAAGCTTCTTGGGCTTCTGCAAAGCACCCTTTGACTACCAGTGTAGTAAAAGCACGTGCCGAAAATGAAGCCAGGCAGCCGGGCCATTCCACTTCATCTCAGGAAATTCCACATTTAAAAGGTGAGCTTTGTTCCCAGAGAGCCAGGAGGGAATCCTTTGGCTGCTTCTCTGCAGAAACCTGCTCCGGCCTGGAAACCAGCCAGCTGCCCCTTTCCCATCTGGGCAGCATGCGGCTCCGACTGGGGCCGGAAGAGAAAGTGAGGATTCAGAGGTGTTTGCCTGTGAGTTCCTTGCGACTCTGCCTGGCCTGGCCTGGCCTGACCTGGCCTGGCCGTGACCACAGCTCCAGCTGGTTTGTAGAGTTCTGTCCCACATTGATGGTGAGGGGCTGTCCAAGCTCAGGCACGTGTGCAAGGAGAGAGACGAAGCCATCGCCCAGCTTGGACTCACGTTTCCCCACTTCCCTCCCCCTGTTGGTCCATCTCTTGGCTCCTGATCCGTGAGACCTCTCTCACCTGGTAGTGATACCCCCGGGCCGTGTGCCCTTGGTGTGCGGTCACTGAAGCAGCCACTCTGCAGAGGGCTTTTCCCCCAGTGCTGACCAGGATTTCCTCATCGTCCATCCCAGATGGGCACCACCTGTTGTCCCACCTGCCCCTCCTCCTCCGAGCCCGTTTCCTGACTCTGACCGTGCTTAGCACACACCCAGTTAAAACGCGCTCTCCAGGCTGGCTTCGAATGCAGCCATTAGCCTCTCTTCGGGAACGTTTATTGGCTACCCATATGTGTACGGCATTTTAAAGTTAAATGATGCAGGCCATGCCGTTTAGAAACTTCCAGCTTGAAGCAGATTGCAGCTGACGCAGCAGGTTATCGAGGAGGAGGATAGAAAGTTTAGCCCTGCAGATACCCTCCAGGTCATGTAATCCAACCCCTCCTTTTGCAGATAGCAGAAGGGAAGCAGGACACCTTGGCTAGGTCATTTGCACCTGTCAGTGGCAGAGTTAGTCCTAGCACTGCTTTAACCATGCCCTCCAGCACACTCTGTGGGGTAGTTGCCTCCCTCAGGCTTTGAGACAAAGGTAGAAGATCCTAGCTCGAATCTGTAGTAATGGGAAGCCATGAAAGACCTCAGGAAGTTGTTTTTGTTTTGAGAGATTTTTTTGCTATAAGGTACATGCACTTGACAGAGAGACACAGAGAGAGAGAGAGACGAAAAGCAAGAAATCGTCTCTCAGAGGGATTGGCCATGCCTCAATTCCTTCTCCTCCATTCTCTGTCAGGATTTTAGGCACGCACATACACGTGCCTGGTGTGAGTTTTAAGCCACCGGGTCTGGGAGTTGAACCACGGTCAATCAGGTAGGAGTCCTGTGATGTAACCTTGACGCCATCTAGCCAAGTGGATCTGCTGGGGATCTAGAGAAGAAAACATCCGTAGTTAGGGAAGAGATGTTTAGGACCAGCATTATAAAACGAGCATGGAGGCCAGTCTCAGTAGTGCACAGGCAGCACCGCTGCTTGGGAGGCTGGAGTTCACATGGGAGGCGCGGGCTCGTTTCCTGGGCCAACCTGAGCATGCCAGGCACAGCTGCACCTGGATTTCCTCCTACCTGGTTGGGAAGTGCAGCAGGAGGATTGGGGCATGATGAGACCCTGTCAAAAATGCCTATTCCTGTGGCCAGCAGATGACTCAGAGGTTATATCACCGGACTCCCATGTGGCAGACTGCAGTTCGATTCTCGAACCCGGTGGCTTGAAACTCATGTGCATGCATATGCGTGCATGCCCAAGATCCCAGGAGGAGAAGGGATTGCAGTATGGCCATCTCCACTGGGGAGTGATTTCTCACTTTCTCTCTCACTGCCTCGTCTCTCTCTCCAGTGAGCACACGCACCCTCAGGCAGAAACCTCTTTTTTTAAAAAAAAAGGGGGCGGGAAGAAAAATGTCTACTCCTGTCTCTTTTCCTTTCCCTCTCTTTCTCCTCTCACTCTCTTAATGGGAAAGAAAATATTAAGCATGGTCTTATGTTATTACAGTCTCCATTTGAATTGTGGTGTGGAATAGCCCCAAATGTAGGGATTGTCCAAATCATGCTAAGGCCCCAGCCACGGCAACGCGGGTATTGTAACGAAGATGGGCATCTGTCCTCAAAGATATGCGTAAGTACGGACGAGGACGCTGGACATGAGCACTCCCGTGCACAGACCGGCCGGCGGTAATGGCTCTGTGATGTGAGCAGAATGGCAGAGGTGCTATTGCGAGGGCTGCAGGCATGTCATGTGAAGGCTCACATGCCCACGCCCCCACATAGGAAGGCATCTGGTAATAATGACAGAAAGCGGGCCCCAGAGCATTTCCCCGAGGTAGAAAGGAAAAAGCTAGAGTTGGGGGGTGGGAAGCCGTGGGGGCGGGGTAGAGCTGGCGTTCTTGCTCTTCGGGCTGGGAAAATGCTTTACTATGTACATAATCGACCTCGTGCTACGCTCGGGCTCGATTAGAGAGGGCCCATCCCATTCTGTTTCACTTGGTTTTGATCCTAGAGTCAGCTGCAGAGTTATAGATGAAGTGACAAGGATGGTATCTTGATTGTATCCAGCTGCTGGGAATAAGTCAAGGGCAGAGGGGCCCCTGCGTGAGGAGCGGCGCTCACCGGGGGCTCCGGAGGAGTCTGCAGCTCAGGGCACCCCGCTGCCTTACACAGCAGTGTCGTTGAGCTCCCTGGAGCCAGCATCACAGAGTGGAGGCCTTCTGGAGAGGCGTCTGATAAGCGGCTTTGGCTGACAGTGAGAGGACTGCGATCTTGACAGCACTTGACCCGAGTATTGTTTGGGCTCCACACAAAGACCTAATAAAGAACCCTTGGTGAAGTGACTTGGACCTCTCCTGCATGGAGTTCAGAGCTGGGTGCTCTCCACCGGCCGGGGAGAAAACAGCTTCCATCTCCAGCAGGAGTGCCGAGTGCATGGAAACCCCCCTTCCACACCCCACCCATCGCCCTCCACCTCGCCATCGCTGGTATCTTCTTTCGTGTGCTTGGGGGCATCCAGGGGTCCCTTTCATGCCATCGAGGCGAATCAGTGGTTGTGGCCTTGGTGTGACTTGAAAGGGCAGGTGCTTGGTGTTGGGAAAAGGAAGCTGGCCATGCGTTTCGTGGAGCCTGCCCAGGCCCACAAACCAAACAGAAGTGGCGGCTCACGTACCGTGCTCTGCTCCAGCTCCGCGGCCTGTCGCAGACTCACATTATTTTCATCTGCTGAAACACACAGCCCAGAGCAGCCAGGCAGCCCCGAGCCGCGCACAGCTGAGGAAGTGTCTGACATGGGCTCGTTTGTCTGCAGCTCTTATGACACTGCCTGTGGCCGATTAGCTGTTGGTTACAACATGGTGTTAATGAGGCCAAGGTTGTGGGTTTGAGAGTCCTGTTAGGTACGCTGGTTTCACAGAAAGGAAAGCTCTTTTTATAACCCCAGACCACACCGAGGACTCAGGTTAGACATCCCATAAAAGCATTGAGATGATCACAAGGAGGACTGGGCAAGACAGGGTAATGACTCAGCACATATCCCTCGACCCGCTTCTGGAAAAGCGATTTAAAACATGTGCTTTACTGGTGGGGAGTTACTGCCGTGCTCCTCACACACAGAGGGTGGCACGCCATTGCTGGTGGGAATGTCGATCAGGGCTGCTGCAGGCTTCCTTCCTGAGTTAAGGCGTGGACTAGTTCTTGCTGGGAAGAACAGAGAAGGCTCATTGGTCCCCTCCCTTCACACTCAGCTTTTCACCTGCTGAGATCTGCCCAGTGACATGCTTGACAAGCGTGCATGGAGTGCTGTCCCATGCCAACCACTCTTTGTGCTTGGGATACTACTGCGAACAAGACTGTCTCTGTCCTCTTCAAGTCTGTTTTCCAGGAGGAAAATAGATAACAAGTAAGTAAGCAATAAATAATTGAAATAACTGTAAAAAGCGAAAGCTTGGAGGGACCAGCAGTTAGCGTAATGGCTATGCCGCTGGACTCCCACGTAGTCGACCGCGATTCGAATCCTGGACCCGGTGGCTTAAACTCACGCCGTGTGTGTGTGTGTGCGTGCCCAAGATCCCGAGAGGAGAATGGAGAAGAAGGGATTGTGGCGTGGCCATCCCCCCTGGGGGGTGATTTCTCGCTTTCTGTCTCTCTGTCTCTCTCTGTCTGGCGAGTGCACGTGCCCTATAGCAAAAATAAATAAATAAATAAAAATTCTCAAAAAAAAAAAAGTGAAAGCTTGGTAAAGAAAAGCATAGAGTTAAGAGGCAATGCTGAGTGGCTGGTTGGCGGTGGTGTTTTTCTTAGAGAAGAAGGTCTCAGAAGGTTCTCCACGTGGTAGACATTCAAGCAGAGAGCTTCCTGGTGAGAAGGAGCCAGCCAAGTGTGCACAAGATGTCCTGGAGGAAATCAGAAGCTGTGTCTGGCTTTGAATATTGGCCCATGACTAGCACTTGTTCAACTGAACGACCTCGGAAACCCACCAGAACCTTTTGGTTTGTAAAGACGTGAACACATGGAGTGTGTTGATACCTATTGGGTAACTCAGCCTTGGGCTTGGTTTTGTCTCACCGAGAACTGACTGGTGATGTGCTTCTGTCCTTAGGTCTGGCGGGAGTTTCCTGACCGATTGGTGGGTTACCCGGGCCGCCTGCATCTCTGGGACCATGAGATGAGTAAGTGGAAGTATGAGTCTGAGTGGACCAACGAGGTGTCCATGGTGCTCACAGGGGCAGCTTTTTATCACAAGGTAAGGGGAGCAGTGTGCTTGGGACAGATGGGTCTTGGTTGGCTAAACAGAGTGTGATATACATTTTATTTGGCCTGCTTTAATTATCCATGTCTGCTGCTAGATCTAGGGAAAATGGTCTACCCCGAGGTCCTAGAAAAGCATGTTTTATGATATTCCTGTAAAATAATTTTTTTAGAGAGAGATTTTTGCTATAGGCTGTATGCACTTGCCAAAGAGATGGAAAGTGAGAAATCACCCCCCTGGGGGAATGGCCACCCCACAATCCCTCCTCCTCCGCTCTCCTCTCAGGATTTTGGGCACGCACACACACATACACACGCCTGATGTGAGTTTTAAGCTGCCAGGTCAAGGCCTCGAACCATGGCCAGCCATGTGGGAGTCCAGCAATGTAACCATTATGCTATCTGCTGGTCCCCCAAATAATATTTTTTTTAATTGGCAGAGGGTGCACATGCACTTGCCAGAGAGAGATGGAGAGACAGAAAGAGACAGGGAAGGGGAGAAAGCATCCCCCAACAATGGGGTGTGATCACACTGCAATCCCCCCCGCCTCACCTCTCCATCTTGTCAGGATTCTGAGCACTCAGGCAGATGCACCCAGTGCGTTTTTCAGGCTGCCAGTGCTGAGATTCAGTCAGTCAGTCATGTGGGATCTGGCTCCTTTAACCAGTAGGCTACAAGGCTGGCCTAAAGTTAGTTTTTCTAATTATTGGTGTAATCCATGCTCATACTAGAAAATAGGAAAATTCAGAACAATAAATCGAAGAAGGAACATAACTTGTAATCCTATCACTTAGGGATAGCCATTATTATTATTTGCCTTTTCCAACTTGCATTTTATTATTTGCTTACACGTTACAGACAGTTGCAAGTATTCTTTCTCATTTAGCCTATTTTTTTCATAAGTTATATTGCGAGTACTTTCTCATGTCATTAAAGTTTCTTTACAAACAGCTACTTAGCATAGTTGTTCATAGATCACTGTATTAATGTTCTGTAAGTCATGTATAACTATTTCACTGTCCTTGAAAATTTAGGTTTCTAATTTTGTGCTATTTTAGATAATGCTTAATATCGAATACTTCACGAGTCACCATTTGCATAGCTGTTTGTACTCATGACCATTGATTTAGACTGTTTTCTGTCACTTAATAACAGAATACTATGGACTAGGTAAGTCTTAAAGAATAAAGGTTTATTCAGCTCAGGTTCTGGAGATCCAAGGTCGAGGAACCACATCAGGTGAAGGTCTTCCTGTTGGTAGGGTGTCCCTGCACAGTCCCAAGGTGCTGCAGGGCATCATGTGGCAATAGAGTGAGAGTTTGTGTCCTTGTCTGTGTCGGCTCTAGTCTCTCTTCCTCTCTTATAATCCCACCAGTATGCAATCATGGAGTCCCACCCTGCTGACGTTACCCTAAAGACTTCATTTCTTAATTCCACAATCTAATTAAGTTTCTACTCTCTTACCATCATGAACAAATTTCCTTTTTTCTTTAGATAGTTTTTTTTTTTAGAAACCTTTTCATTTAACTTTATTTATTTACTTATTTTTAATTTGACCAGAGAGGGATAGAGTGAGAGTAAGAATGAGAGTAAAAGAGAGAGAGGAAGCAAGCCATGAGGTCCAGGATTCAAACCACAGTCGACCACTGGGGAGTCCAGCATGATTAACTACCACGCCACCTGCTGGCCCATGTCATCAACAAATTTAAACACATGAATTTTGGGGGTGGACACACTAAATCATAGCTTCCTACCGCAACCCCCAAATTCATATCCTTCTTGCATACAGAATATATCTATTTCACCATGGTGCTTCCACAGTCTTAACTTATTCCAAAACCAACTCAGAAGTCCAAAGTCCAGCTGTAAGCATGTGAATCAAAACAAATTACATGCTTCCAAAATACAGTGGCAGGATAGTCATAGGGTAGACATTCTCATTTCACAAGAAGAAAGATATTGCAGACCGCAATAAAGTCTACCTCAAGAGGACAGATATTAAATCTTAAAGCTCAAGGATAATCTTCTACTCCATGTGCTACCTCCTGGACACATGCTAAGGTTTGAGCCCTCAAAGCATGAGACAGTCCTGCCCCTTAGGCTTTGCGGAACTCAATCCACAGTTTAGCTCTCCTAGCTCGCAGTCTTGTGCTTGCAGCTCTCTGAGGCTGGCATTGCAAGGTGGTAACTCTGCTATTCCACGGTCTTAAGGGTTCTTGCACCTGGGGCTTTGCTAGTTATTGTCTTGTTGGGGACAGTCTATGGCAGCTTTAGCCCTACATTTTTGGGTGGTATTGCCCTAGTTGGGGTTCCTTGCAGTGACACCAGGCCTGAGACAAGTCAATGTATTCTTTGAAATCTTGGTGGAAAACTCTGTGCCTTCATAGCTATGGCATTCTGTGCACTGCAGAATAACCTCCACATGTATGTCACTAAGTACTGACATTTGCATATTTTAGAGCAGTGGCTGGAACAGTAGCCTTAACATTGGGTTGAGACACACCTACGGTCACTTGAGTCACAGCAGGGGCCAAAGAGTACTGCGTAGGGAAATGGGGGATGCAGAGTTTTAGTCTTGAGACAGTACAGGGCAGCAAGCCCACCCTGGGCCATCCCCTGAAACTATTCTGCTCTCCTACACCTCTAGGCCTGTGATAGGAGGGCTAGTCCTAAAGATTTCTGAGATGCCCTCAGGGCCTTTCTGCATTGTTTCAATAATTAGTAACTTGCTGTCATTAATTCTTGCTAATCTTTTTCAGTAACTGGTCTCTGGGCTACATCTTCGTTTTTCTGTCCTGAAAATACTCTTTCATCCTCTGTCACATGGCCAAGGCTGCAAATTTTCCAAATCTTTCATCTCTGCTTCCCTTTCTATTAAAAATTCTATCTTGAAGTCATCTCTTCACTCTCTCATTTCACTCTATGCTGTTAAAAGTAACCATACAGCTATTATATTTTGCTTAGAACTTAATTTTGCCTGATATTTATAACTTTTAAATCTAGCCTTCTAAGTTGGTCCCTTGGCCTACTTGTTAAGGGAACTGGATCCCACATGGCTAATTGCAGTATGAGAAACATGTCTTTCTGTGTGTCTCTGGTAAACACGCACTTGCTCTGGACATTTAATTAATTTGCATTCCACAAAGGTTTAGGATATGAACACAGTGCAGCCAATTTTTTCAATCAGTGTAGCAAGGATGACCTTTCTCCAGTGTTCAATAAGTTAAGACCTCTTCAGAATAACCCTTACTATCCTTTTTTCTTTTTTTTACTTTTTTAAAGGTGTTTTGTTTTTAGTTTTAGTTTGTTTTTTATTTGTTTTTTTTTTTGTTTTTGTTTTTGTTTTGTTTTGTCATAGGACATAGGACACCTGTGCTCAGTGGAGAAGAGAGACAGACAGAAAGAGGGAAAGTGAAAAATCACTCCCCAGAGGGATGGCCATACTGCAATCCCTTCTTCTCCATTCTCTTCTTGAGATTCTGGGCATGCACGCACACACACCCAGCATGATTTTCAAGCTGCTGGGTCTAGGACTCAAATCACGGTCAGCCATGTGGGAGTGTAGAGCCTTAACTACCATACCAAATGCTGGATCCACTGTTCATGTTTCTACAGCATTTAGATCATGATAATTTAACCAATCCCTAAGAAGTTCAAATTTTCTCTAGTCTTATCTTCTGAGCCCTCGCCAGAATCTAGATTTTTCCTACCCTGCTTCTTCAAACTCCTCCAGTTCCAGAGCCACCTCTACATTTTCTGGTGTTCATTCTGAACAACAGCCCCACTTCAAAGTACTAATTTTTCTGCTTCCATCCACTTTCTGTTGCTTACTAACTAAATACCCAGACTGTGTCATTTATCTTTATAAATCTGAAGTAAGGGTGTATTCAGCTCATGGTTTTGGAGGTCCGAGGTCAAGGAGTTGCATCTAGGAAGTGTCTTTTGTCGGTGGGGACCCCTTCCAGATTCTCAAGATGGCACAGGACATCACATGGTGAAAGAGTAAGAGTTTGTGCCTCTCTACTCTGTCTCTCTACTCTGGTTTTGCTTCCTCTCCTTATAAACCCATAGTTTTCAATCATGGGAGCCCTACCCCAAGGGCTTTATCTAATCCTAATGACCTCTGAAAGACTCCACTTCTTAATCCCACAGTCAGATTAGGTTTCCACCCTCTCAATACTGTCACAACCAAATTTCAACACACAGGGCCAACACAATAGCCTAGTGCTTAATGGAAGTCTGATAGCACATGGCCAACTCAGTTCAAATCCCATCTCCTTTGCCTTAAAAAACATTCCAGGCACAAGTGTGTGTGTGCCCCAAATCCCAACAGGATGGAGAGATGAAGGAGAAGGGATTGCAGCATGACCATGCCCCCTTGGGAGGTGCTTTCTCCCTCTCTCTCTCTCTCTCTCTCTACCTCTATCTCTCTATCTCTCTCTGGGGCCAGTACACACCATCTAGCAATTGGAGAAAGAAATAGCAAATTTCAATATATGCATTTGGGGATCACATTCAAACCATAGCAACTATTATGATAGATTCCTACACAATGAATTATTACCTTGAAGCCCAAAATGGTCTTTCCCATTTATTTAATAGTCTATTTCTAGAAATCTATTATTATACACATATATATGTATATGCATGTAAGTATTTGTCTATTAGTTTCATTATCGTTTGGGACAATTTATACTCTTACAAGCAAAATACAAAACTGTCTTAGCATACTCTGTCTTGGCATAAAATATGTTAAAAAAATAAACTTAGGTTTTTGTTATTGTTGTTTTAATTGTGCTAATGAGAGAGAGAGAGAGAGAGAGAGAGAGAGAGAGGCAGAAAGGAACTCCCATTGGGGTGTGGTCATCACACTACGATAATTTCTTCTTCATTTTTTCATCCTGTTGAGATTCAGGGCACACACACATGCACCTGGTCTGTTTTTCAAGCTGCCTAGGCAGGAACTCAAACCATGTGGTCAGCCATGTGGGATCCAGCTCCTTTAACCAGTAGGTCACAGGTCCAACCCAAAATTAGTTATTTTGATTAGTAAAATGGAATCTTACTGTTTTAACTTTGATTTGATTACTAACGAGGTTGGAATTCCTTTTGTATATGTGTGAGTCTTTTTGTACTTCCTTCCATCTTCTGAGAACCATTATTTCATGTTTTTGACTTTTTTTTTAGGGAAATATTGGAGAAAATACATTTGACTTCAGAATATTCAGTCTGGTGATCGAGTACTCCCTGGGAGGATACAGTTCAGTTTAGCAGTAGTCACTTGTCTGTTTTCAGCATTAGTGTAAGGAACTGGCAGGAGAAAGATCTGTTCAACTCAGCACAGCTCATGGAAACCAGCATATATATTTACCTCAGTTGCTCGTGGCCACCTCAGCGTTGTTAGCTTCATGTGTTTCAGTGCCTTAGAGCCAAAATAGTCTTTGTTCTTAGAAAAACCAAAACAAAAACCAAGGTGTATATTGGGTCGTCGGGAAAAGTCATGACACATTTTTGTAGAGGAAAACATAGAAAAAATACATCATGACTTTTCCGATGACCCCGTAGTTCTTGGGACTTCTGGTAGGCTGTTTACATTTTTTGTTGTTGTTCTTTGACCCATTAATTTCTACACTATTTCATGCATGTAGGTTATGGTAGTTTCAGAGCCACCTCATTTTTGTTCCAGTTTAAAAAGAACAAAGAACCCACCTTCACAAAAGAATGACCACATTAAGGGTGCTTGGTCAGCTGGCCAAAAGCACCCCACTCCTTCCAAAAGGAGCAAAAGCTCTTTCTCTGAGTGCAGCCTCGTGACCAATCTCCCGAGAGAAAACCGGTCCTCGTGCCGTGACTGAGTTGCTCCCTGGTATCCGCTAAAGGGAACCGCTACTTGAATAATGCTCCTTTTCATCTCGTCAACAGTATTTTAATTACCTGTATACCTACAAGATGCCTGGGGACATCAAGAACTGGGTGGACGCTCACATGAACTGTGAGGACATCGCCATGAATTTCCTGGTGGCTAATGTCACCGGGAAGGCCGTCATCAAGGTAGGAGGCCCTGCCGCTCTGGCTTCGTGTCCTTGGGCAAGGCTGTGTTTTAGAGCCCGAGGAGTCCTTGCAGCTGTTAATGATGTGTTGGACCTGGTGACCTTCAAGCTCTCTTTTAGCTTAAGGTCCTGGACTTGCCACTGTCACCTTGGGAAACTGAAGCTCGATTTTGATGATTTAAACCTGTTCTCTTTTTCGTATAACTTTATTAGTCACAGTTTTTAACCTTTAATGTCAGAGTTAAAGGCAATAATGGTTAATCTATAAATCATATCTTACGATGAAAATTTCATTTCGTTTTCAGCACTGATGTGGAATCTAGTTCTGCTAGCTAAAAAATGCAGTTAAAATTTTCCCTGAAAGTAGTTTTTAAGTAGATGTTGAGAAGACAGTGTACTTTGTACAAGTATGTAACTGTAGTTGTCCTGAACGTTGTTTTCTAATATTGATTACCAAGTTATCAGATTGCCAGAGGGTGTGTGCACTCACCAGAGAGAGAGAGAGAGAGGGAGAGAGAGAGCAAGCACCCCCCCCCCACAGGGCGTGGTTACACCACAGTGTCCCCTTCTCCATCCCATCAGGATTCCAGGCATGCACACACATGTGCTCAGCATGTCCCTCAAGACATGGGCCAGGACTTGAACTATAGTTGGCCCTGCCGGATGCAGCGTTCCATGCACAGCACTTAACTGCTGTGCCCAGGGCTGCCGCAGGATCACGTTTTCAGAAGTACTTTTCCCGTATCACTAAAAGCTGAGCGTGCATGAAGGTCCTATAGGAGGTTTTTGCATTCTGAGATATGCTTGCTGTTTAGACTGTGGTCAAATCAGATCCCTAGACGCATAGAGGATGTGCCCTTTTTTTCTTTTATCTGAATAGAATCATCTTAGCCTTTTTTCCTTTTAATTAGAGTCTCATGTGTGTAAAAGAGCAATACCAGATTCTCCCAGGACTCTGCCTAGAAAGACCAGATTCCTAGGGCAGCCTGTGCTAGAAGCAGGTCACCACTGGTTCTTCGTGCTATTAACTGAGAGAAGCCAGATTAGACCAGAGTGACTAGGAAAGAGGAAAAGCTTCACTCTTTGTACAAACCAAACCCAGCCTTATCCCCAGCTATCTAAGTAACTCAATGAACAGCTGACTGTGAGGACAATCAAAGAATGGTGAGAGCTGTTTCCAGGACCCCCAGTCCACCCACCCAGCCCCATTCCCGAATGAGCTTTCCATCGTGCTTCAGCATGTTCTGCACTGTGGCTGCTCCCCCCGGACAGTAACCGCCAGCGTCTCGGTGCCCCTTCGCCGTGCCTTAGTTCTCGAGCTTTCTCTCCCTCCCATCCCACTTTTCATCTGCACCAGGCTAGGACAACCACCTCCTGAGCTTGGCAAAAAGGTCCCTAGAAGCTTAAAGCTTGGGAGAGTAGAAGAAAGTCAAAGAAAAGATTCAGAGGTGAGAAACCATTGGCTTTTTTTTTTTTTTTTTTTTTTTCCTGATTCAAGGGAATTGCAAAATACCCTGGTGTCTTCAGGAGCATGGGCTCGCTCCTTGCATTTGCCATTAGCTGGAGGAGGAGAAGGAATGCCTGTTGGAACTAAGGTTACGGTGAAAGTTATGGGAAGCTGTATTTCATCGCCCTTATGGCTGCAAGAACAAATGGTGTTTATACAAGGACCTTGGCAGTGAGAAAACAGTCATTAAACAGGAATTAAGGAGCTTGTCATCACCACTTCTTTCCAGTTACAGAAGGCAAAAGCCCTCCAAGCCTTTTTTATTGGGCCCTTGTGAGTTCTGCTGTTGGCTGAGCCAGACAGAATCAAATGGAGGAATAGCGAGAGGTGTGCGTGTGTGTGTGTACGTGTGTGTGCACACATGCATCTGTGCATGCACATGTGTGTGTGTGGAGAGAGCAAGCATCTCAGCTTACCACACCGAAGCATGCGGAGTGGTGTCACCAGCATGGCTTTGCTGTCCTCGGCATGGACAGCCAGGTCTGTTTCTGTGCTTCCCTGGCAGGTAACCCCGCGGAAGAAGTTCAAGTGTCCCGAGTGCACAGCCATCGATGGGCTCTCGCTGGACCAGACACACATGGTGGAGAGGTGAGCGAGCCTCCGTCCAAGTCCGCCCCAGCCTCTGACCCCATTTCCTGCCTGGGGCCTGTTTATGGGACTTTGCTGGAGATATAAGGACAGCAGCTGGTAGCCATAGTCACCTCCTTTTGCACTGTGGGAATTGGGTTAGTTCAAGCCCAGGTCACCCAAAGAATTAATTTGGAATGCTACTCACTCAATTCGTAATGGCTGGAACGGTCTTAAAAATATAGCTGGCCTTAAGCTCCAGAAGCCGGATTCTCCATGTGGACTAAGCAGTTAACCATCTATAGTCATCTGAGTGGAAACTAGTTAGTTCCATGGCAATACTGGATTGTTTTCCAGGGCAATATCTTCATGTTATAGTGAAAGTTTAATTAGAAAGAATTAAACCTAACCCACCAGAGACAAGTAACCTCTGCTGACATTTCTAAAACATCTGCCAAGAACCAAATCGAAAGCAAAGAAGGAGACAGGCAGGGCAGCTCTGAAATGTTCTCTTTATTTCAATTCGACAAGCACACTTCTGCCTGGAATAGAATCCCAGGCCTTGTAGGTGAGGATGGAAGGAGAGAGGCGTGTATCTTCCCTTCAGACCATTACAGTCTTGGACTAGACCTCATAGTTCTCACTGATACCCCAAGTCCCGGATCTTGGAAAGGACTGAAACCTATTTCTCCGAAGGGCAGCTCCTTCCAGGAGACGGTAAACTCTGACATCCCGGCAGCAGTATTGTCAAGGGAGCAGAATGCACGCCGAGAATGTTACCGTAGCCTTTTAGAATGAGATTCGGAGTTCAGGTTTCCACAGGTCTCAATGCATCTGCTCACAGAATTCATTCCTGAAATCTAGCACCCGTATTAAAACCCTTCAAGTCTAGAGGATGATTTAGAAGGTTTTTTTCACTTGGCCTGAATGTTTCTATAACGCTTTGCTCCTTCCCCTTCTCTACATAATCGCTTTATCTCTTTTATGTATAAATGTCTTACTCAAACGACACGACTTTTCCCAACTGTTGGTGTACAATGATATATTGAGTTTGGGAATTAGCTATCAGTGGTAATCGTAAGTACTGGTCAAGGGCAGTAACATTAACTGTCGTAGTTCGTTCAGAAAAGACCCTAAGTTTAGTTCAGTTGGACTCTATGAAATTGCTATTTAAAGCTTCTCCATCCTCTGCTTTTAGGGAGGGAGAATATATAGCACCGTATAGCTGAGTGGTTACTGACTGGACTGGGGTTAAGTGCCAGGGATATGGGGTCTAAAGAAGAAAACGTAGGGAGAGTAGCCAACCCGATAACGGCCTTGAAGTCCCTGCACCTAAACTGGCTCTTCTCAAGACCCACCGAGATCATGATCAATGAAGAGGCCTGAGATGCAGAAGAGATTTACGTTAGCTAGAACTCTTATTAAACGCCGAGCAGAGTAACTAATGGCAACAGGGAGGCTTTCTCTTTGGAAGAGACTTTTGGAAATCAAATAGGCAACTGCTGCATGTTGTTAGGCTTGACTCTGATTACATCAGAGTTTGTGATTATCCAGAACAACACAGGCACACAGACTCACGTTTCCACCCTACACACATATGAAATTGTAATATTTTGATAGCTCTATCTATATCCAAAACTACCTAAATGACTGCCCTGAGGGAGGCTCGGAGTGTTATTGACCAGAGGACATAAACTTTTTGCTAGGTTAATTATTAAGAATACTCCTATAAGGCCAGCAGGTGGCATAGTAATTAAGACATGGTGGACCACAGTTTGAGTCTCAGACCTGGCTGCTTACAACTCATGCTGGGTACAGATGTGTATGTGCCCAAAATTCTGAGGAGAAGGGATTGCTGCATGTTTATTTTTCCTGGGGGCGATTTCTCGCTTTCCCTCTCATTGTCTCTCTGGTGAGCACACATACCCTATAGCAAAAACCTTAAAAGACAACAGAAAAAGTGTTGACCCTTGAAGGGAGCCTTCAGGGATCACAAGGACCCCAACCAGTGAAACTGAGCAGGAAGGGGAGACCTTAGGCAGGGGACCTGGGTGGCCACAGGTGCCTGGTCAGCAAGTCCAAGGTTTGTGTGGCAGGCAGGGAGAGGTCCACTTTGGCCAGAGCATCGAACCCTGGCCTGTGGGTACAGACTGTGGTGGGCCCTGGATCCCCAGCTAAGGGGCTTAGAATGTGTCCTTCAGGCTCTGGTGAGTCGTGGAGCGTTTCTGAGCAGGGGACTAACTTGATCAAAGTGTTGCTTTGAGATTAATTCAGAAGTACATAAAATGAGATGAAGGCTGCAGAGACTGGACAAAGAAGACCGTCAGAAACACAGAACCAACCTGGATGTGAGAGGATGGAACAAATTGAATTGCAAGAGATCGTTGCCCAAGGGAAGATGTACCAGAACTTGGTGTCTACATGGAGGGACATGGGGAGGTCCCGGGGGAGTCTTTGAGAGATTACTGGGGTTCTGAGCCCCAGAGAGGGTGGTTCCATTAACACTGGGCATAATCTAGTTAAGAGGAGACACCGACCGGGGCGGGGGCTGGGGCGAATAGTTGTGCCGTTGACAGGAGGAGGTTGGAGAATGGTGAGCAGGTGATCGGGGGTCTTGCCCTCTATGTGCAGAGGTAGATAAGCAGGCAGTTGGGAATACAGACCTGGAACTTCAGAAAGAGGCTGAAAACCAAGATAGGTACTTGGGCGTAAACGGCCCAGAGAACACAGCAGACTGAAAAGAAGCCAAACTCAGACCTTTAGGAGACAGGGTAACTAGAAACAGAGAAGCAGTTGGGGAGCACCAGGAGGAAGTCAGGACTCACCATGCCCCGGAGCTGGGGAGGAGCAAAGGACGTGCAGGCCAGGAATGC